ATCACCACACAGCTGTAGCCCCCATTGTTCCTGCTGCGGAGAAAAATCTGCAATTTTATAGTGTTTCCTCTTAATTTTAAAGATTTTTCTGTATTTTGACAAGAAAATATATAAAATTAGGGAAAAAATTCAGTGCATTTACACATCAAATGTAAAATAACAACAATATTTAATTCTTTCAAGGAAAAAATGTTGAAAAAATTTTTTAAAAATGTTCAAATACGATCGGAAATTAACCATCATTTCATAAACGTTTTCTGTTCTTATTGATGTTAAATTCACATTTAATACCGTGAATTCAATTCTCCAGGTGTTGGTTTTATAATTTTACATCGATTGGTTAATTAGAGATATCTTGCTTAATTACAAATGTTTTCAAAATGTTGACTGTGTGCATAATATCTATAAACACTGGTAGCTTGTCAAAATACAGTTCTCATCCCTACATATATAACTATCTATTGTATATTGCAGGTAATTTTCATTATTTCTGCACATCTAAATATCCTTCTTTAACAAAAATACATATTTTATGTAAAATTAAGGCTAAAAAATATATTTTAATTATAGAAAATTACTGTATTTTTAGGAAATGGACATGTTCAATTATTTTTACTGTATTTTTTGGCATTTTGGTTGCTAAAATTATATATATATATATTTTTTTTTTTAGTGTGCTTGATGCCATGTAGGAACATAACAGAGTAAATTAACATGTGTGTATGTTCCCAGTCAGTGGTTTTGTTGCACGCTGTTGGACTCAAGGTTCTGCTCTTCCTGAGTGTCCGTATGTTGCTGTGATTGAGTTTAGCCGCTCAGTACCTTGTCCCAGAGTCGCTCTCGGTCCAAAGCGATGATGACCATGGAGGGGTTGGAGAGGAAGCCTTGGTTGTTGAACGACAGGTCCTTCCTCTCCCACGTCACGTTCAGCATGTGCCTGACAGAAACACAAAGTACGAAGCGCCCAATCAAGGAACTTTGATTCTACGTTTCTCCACATGAGAATTTGCATATTAATTTACATGCATACGCGCACACACACGATGATCACCTCCTAATTAAACCTAAAGCTCCCCCGGGAGCCTGCGTCTAATGCGGGAGACTGGAAGTGGCTCATTAGGGGATGATAGCAGCAGGTGATTGGTCGGACGGCTGGGTGTTCCCACTGAGTGATTTTGCTGTCTCTTAAGGTATAAATACATGATAGACTGGGTTGTGAATAATGAATCGGGAGCAATTTGCATTTCAAACCACGTGCAAGAAGAGGCGCGCAACACTTTCACTTCATGTCGTGCTGGGGAGAAGCTACAGTTGTGCTTCTGTGTAAGAATCAGTGATCACTTTAGGAGGCGATAAGGAACATGTTTTCAAGTTAATAAGAGGATGGAAGTAAAATTCAGCAACTCAAAGTGCTTCAAAAGAAGAAACAAATCCAGGCAATAAACTGGTTTGTTAGCAATCACACGGCAGAATTTCTACCAAACTGTGGATGTGTTCAGTGGATTGCAATAGTCAGGATCTCCAAAGACAAAACAGTGATGTGCAGCAGATGTTGGAAACCTGCAAAGCGATGCCTCACCTGAACAGAGTGTTGTTGTCGGAGTTTTTACCCGGCTTGTCGCAGTCGCCGTGGCCCTCGGGGATGAAGCCGTACTGCTTCTTGAAGCTCTCTGCCCCTTTGGCTACGATGGCGACGCCCTCCCTCACCCGCTGCCTCAAGCTCTTCCTCCACTGGTCCGTAATCACGCCGATCACTCCGATGGGGAAGCTGACAGGCGGAGGGTTTTCGGGGTTGCCCACGGCCAGACTTGGGAGGATCCAGATGTAGCCCGGGCCCAGCAGACCCACCTCGGCTGCCTGAGAGAACAGGTACTGCGCCTCCTCGTGGGAGCAGTAAGCCAGCAGGACCTGGGAGTCCACCTGCAGATAGACGGGAACAGGAACCTGAACACGCTGAGCTGCTGGAGATCACGAGGAACACGAGCTGTTCATGTCCAAACTTAGCTGGAACATCGCTACAAAAGCTGTCAATAGATTATTATAATGTAAATAAAAACTACTTTTACAGAGAGATGAGCTGTCACTGTGGAAATAAGTGTGGAAATGTCTTTTTCTTTAACATGTATTTGTACTTTTGAAATCAAAAACATTAACAGAGCTACAAGAATCGACTAGTTTACATGAATAATGTAAAATATGCAACTGTGAACAACCGTAGAAGTATATTTATTAAAACATGTAAAGTCTGAAACTGTTAATTTGAAGTTAATTCTGTAAATATATTTAAAAATTTAGAAGATGTATTATAATTATGGAAAATTACAGTTTTGGGGTTTTTTTTGCGCTACTTTACAGTATTTTCTTCCACAGAATATTACCAATATTTTATTGTTTGTTTGTTTTATTGTTTGCTTTCCATACAATAAAACTGTGTGTGACTGCTGCAGATACTGTAACTGAGTCATCTCACAAAGATTACATCAGCTTCATATCTTATTACCGGTTTAGACTTTAAACTGAAAAAGCAAGAGGATGTTTACATATCTGATATGATGCGGGAACATTTTAAACTTCATTTTACAAAACAATCTATTAGTAATGATGCATTACTTAAAGCACAATAGCATTATGTGGCATTTCTCAATCATTCATACTGTATAATTACTACAACTTCCAAAACACATATTTCTGAATTTATGCTGATACGATCTAAGAGATACGATCAGATTAATCCTACAGCAGCGAAAGGGAAAGTGAAACACTGAGGGAACAAAAATGAAAAAATAGACAGTAAGTGCTGTTAATATTGACCCGATTCTTCTTCAAAGGGTTATTCTACATGTTTAAAGACACTGATGTGGCACAGATCCTTTCATGAGTAAAAAAAATAGTCTTTAAATGCTCAGGTTTGAATGTAAATATAATAGAAATATAGTTACTAAGCTTGACACCTCCTGTCATCAACCATTTGGTCCGTCGTTTTTGTTGGTATCAGTGTTCCAGCTTGTGATGCGACAACCTACTTAACGCTAATTGTCTTAGATGAACAGCGCTGCCAATGTGTTTTAGGCAATTTTGGGTTTTAATGACATTTAATTTAAAGCGAGCAAGAATGCCACTAAGACCTCAGGAACTCACTTGTATCTTCAATCTCATCCTACCTGCTGCAGCAAACGTTTGGTCCTCGCATCGTTCGCCCCGACGGACATCTCCAGAGACAGGACGTCCTGCAGATTCCACAGGAAGTAGGAAGTATCTGTGTAGGACTGAACTATATCCACAAAGGTGTCGTAGCCCGGCAGCATGCTGGTGATCACCGCAAACTCTCCCCAGTCGTACTCCTCCATGATCTGAAACGGGGAAGATTTAAATGATCGTTTTCAAGACATTAGGGTTATGAAATATGATCAAGTCGATGATGAACACATGAAGCTCCGCAGGGCTGAAAACAATAAATTGGAAAAAATATGCTGCTTTGCATTCTTACTGAGAGATCAATATCCATCTGACAGGGTGAATGAGTAGCCGTGAGTTTCGGCTTGAACCTCGGAGGAAACAGCTCGTGATGGTCCAACACGTAACCCCCCTTTAAAATGCAAATTCTCATTTTTACACCTGTAAGTGTTAAAGTGTGTACACGTGTAAACTGGTGAGCTCGAGACGTGCTGCTGGATGGATTCTGTTACCTTTGGACGTTTATATTGAGCCAGGCCATCTGTCTCCACCTGTTTCCACTTTTATGCTAAGCTAAATGAACCAGCTGCTCGATATTAATCATACCGACAACAGATGGTGTCAGTCTTTCTCATCTTACTCCATGTAAGCAAAGAAAAACTGCCAAAATGTCACAATTAGTCCTTTTTAGGTATTACTCTGGGCATTAGACTGGGATCAAGGAGTCTTGTAATTAAAACTGCGCGGAGTTTAACAGTAATGACGAGAACAAACTCCGCGTTTCATCGCAAACATACCTGTCCGTTCCCAAATGAAAGTCTCTCGGTTGTGAAACCGGCCGGATGATGAGGTAAACTTAGGGTAACGCAGACTTAACTGAGATTATCCTGTTGATTCCCAAAACATCTGTGACAATGAAGCCTTCTAATCTCATGAGAATTTGCAAAATCCATCACGAACAGAGATCGTATTAGTTTGCGGAAACTGGTCCAGAACTTCAAATCAGGGATTCCCCTCCGAACCGACCGTGGGATGTCCCTTTGTGACGCTAATCAGCCTGAGAGGTCCCAGTTGTCAGGCTTGACCCTCTGACCATTTGGTATGACAACCTAGATTTTTCTTTTTTTTCCCCTCTGAAATACTAACCCCGTTCACCCTGGATGTCCCTGTTCTCTGACTAATACAGTACTTTCAACCGTTTTTCAAAGGTTTCCCAGCATGTAGCTGTGACTAAAATGCATTTATTGTGATCGCGCAAAACTTGGTAGAGATGCAGTTGGGAACTTTTACACAAGGTTCATTAAGATCAGGCTCATATGAGGCTGTTTTTAATCACATAAAACTGTCGAGTTCCCAAATGTCCATCTGGCTTGGTGGTAACGTCTCTTAGCCACAGATCCTGGGGTTGTTGGCCTTCAGGTTTTGCAGCTTTTACTGATTCTCGTAGTTTAATCGTAGCAACTGGACTTGCTTGAGTTCCTTGAAGACGTTCCACCTCTCATCCAAGAGGCTTCATCAGGTCTGAATGACTAGTTGGGAGTTCCAGATACTTAAATCCTTAAGGAGACATTAACACTTAAGTTTCGGTTTCAATTGGGGGTTTGTTGCTCGTTAGCGCCCCCTGCCACAATCAACCTGAGATGCAGACAACACAACATAACCATCGTGGCAGGTGAAACGTCTTCAAGAAACTCAAGCACGTCCAGTTGTTACGGTTAAACTACGAGAACAACCATGACCTGGATGACTGAGAACCTTCAGACAGCTTTTACTGACTAAACTTTGGCTTTTTTAAGTGGAAATTCCCCCAAAAAATAACCTCAGACTCAAGGGCATAGACTCGTTGCATTTCCATACCTTGAACATGCAGACGACCTGCTGCTCCAGAGACGCCCCCATCTGCAGAAAAGAAGATCCTTCGGCCTGTAAAGACAAAGAAAGTCTTAATTAATGATTCATGGCCGACACTGGGTGGACGCTTGCTGTCACACTGGTTTAAAACACCGTTAAACAACATGAATTATCAGTCCTGATTGGGTTTTAAGGGCCCTCCGGTCATGGAAATATTCTCCACCTGTGAAAAGAAGTTCTCGATATCTCAAGTCAACACACGAACATCCAAGTCCGCCGTTGAACCTGTCATGACAGAAGCGATCTAGCGAAAGGTTTAGGGATTAACTCGACTGCTTCTCCTCATTTTCGCGCAACCTTTAACACCGTTACTGCTGCGGAACGTTTAAATTTGGATGAAACTTGGATTAATAAAAGGGTCTGCGTTTAGGGGGGGGACGAAGGAAACTCGGGGGTGTCCGACTGATGGCAAAGCGACCCTCCGACGCCGTCCTCTTGCTCAGTAAGCATATTATCACTTGTAAAACCGCCGGTGTTAAAAGTCACGTATCCAGCACAGTGGAACGGACTTACAAAACCAATTAAATGAGAAATGAAGAATGGATAGAGGGTGGGGGGGAAGAAAATTATTAGCGAGTTTTGGCCCTTTAATCATTTTTTAAAAACTCTTTCTGAAGCTCCACAATAAAAGCCTTCAGTTTTTTCTTACATGTATGACAGCAAACCCCTTAAAACTTGAATGATTGGCGTATTTGTTTCACCCCGAAGCAATAAAGATGCAGAGTGATGCGTCCTATACGGAACAGCTACCATGAATATGTATATTTACACCTTTTTTATTGATGCTTTTCGTTTTACAACAGAGCTTTGATTGGCCGGATTCGTCCTCGGCGTGATGCGAGTGTCTCTGAGCAGCACTCAGTCCTGCTGCTCTCTTTCTGTCAAGAAGGGGTGGTGCGATGTTGCCGGCGTCTGCGCGCGTTAGCATACATTTGCATACCCAGTCGCTGCGCGTTGACAGAAAAAAAAAGAGGTTGTGCGAGTCCAACGAACCCATGTACTTGAAATAACATTCAGATGAAACAGGCTACAGTCATGAGAGGAGGAGGAATGTGAATGTAAACGGGGCTGAATGGAGACAAAGTGATCGGCAGGAGCAGAAACCGACACCTGATTGTGACCTTTTAAGTCAACTTGGTCATATTAGTCATTTTTAGCAGCACTCTGCCTCAGTTTAATGCATTTATTCATCCCCGGTAACCTGCTGTCAGACGTATTTCTCTCACAAATTCAAAACCTTTCATTCACCAAACTCAATTAATGATATAACAGCAACAATAAACCCAATTTGTATCACCAGTAAAACGCAAATGTCGGTTGATTTTTGGGTCAAATCGAGACATCTATCAAACAATTGGGTCAAGTTTGGTTGGAAGTGAACCTTTTTTTAATCATTTAGGTCATGTGTAATTGCCATTTTTCACTGTGGAGCAAATGACATGCTGCAATCAGCCGTTTAACTTCAGCTTTGTTTTACCGCCTAATTAACAAAACCAATAAAACGCACACACGGGCGGCACAAAAACGCAGCACTTTGCTGCAAACGAACGGCAAAACGGAAGAAAAATTCAAATGAAACTTATCCGTATGTGGACAACCTGGAACATTACATTTTAATCTAATGTTTAAAGAATGTTTTAAGGGTATTTTCATTTCAAATAAAAGATGTCATGTTTTAATCGAAGCATTCTGAGGATGTTTTGGGGACGATGAGGAACAATTTATCTATAAAACATTCCCATCGAGAACCATTTTTAGTCTTTATCCTCCCTTTAAACAGAACATTCTGGGTACTAGAAGGAAACTACCCACCAAGAACTTTCTCAGAATGTTTTCAGAACCAAATATTCTTGCCGGTCGTCCTCTTTTAAACGAGGCTCTGTAGCCGTTACCACAGGTTGGATATCTGCAGGGCTGCAGGCCACGAGTCGCCCTGTGATGTAAGCAAGTGCAAGAACCTGCAGAAAATTTGACCCAAGTAGCAATATGCTAAATGTGATTCGATAACAGACTGGCAGCTGGTGCAACAAGGTGTAGATCAGAGAAATATGACCTCCTTTTTTTTTCCTAATCTGTCCTCCGTATACTAACCGGAAATACAGCGATCTGAAAATCCAGGCGGCACACATGCATGAGGAGTCACGCATGATGGAGCGAGGGAGGCAGGCAGAGAGAAAGCAGATAGTGTTAAACTGTCAAGTGCCGTTTGGGATCAGGTCTCAGATCTTCTCAGTCTGTTCTCGTCTCCGAGGACTAACTGTCATCTCTCCTTCCTGTTGCTCTTCCCTCTCCCACAGCTCAGAGCCTCGGCAAAGCCCAGGAGAGCTCTGCAGCCGGAGGAATACCACCCGAGTATCACAGCCACACTCTCTTCCACTCAATTTTTACTCAGTTTTATCTCTGTCTGAGCTTGTTTGAGACTCACCTCCAGGAGCTCAAACGCCAACCAGACTACTGACTGGGCTACGCACCAAAATAGCTGTAAAAATAGAGAACACAACTGTGTCAGGCTGTCGCTGAATAAATAAAAAATGGCAGTCCTGGTTAACTACAGTGCCCCACTTCAGCTGATATGCCAGAGGAGTGTTCGGCTGCATTATGCGAAGGAGCGCCATTAAAATCCAATTAGCTGTGTCCGAGCTATTAAACAGACCAATAATGCGGCGACCCTCTCGGTCAATTCAGTGTTTTATCACAATCCAATTAGCAAGTCAAAATCAAACACACTTCTCACTCTCTCCTTCAGATCAAATGACAACAAAATCAGCTTCTCTTCCGAGTCTCACAGTAACACATGAAGACTCAGAGTTCATCCTCCTCCTCCCTTCCTTCCTTCCTTCCTTCACCGTCCTCCACTTCCCGGCCGTCTCGTTCTCACCACCTTGGCAGTGCGGCTGTCACACACAGGCATAATTAGCAATCCTACTGCAGCAGCGTATGGTAATGTGACAGGAAGACGGTGGACACGGTGGCTGCTCGCACACTCCTCTCCTCCCACGGGGGGAACTTTGCACCGTGCCTCCCTCCCTCCTCTCCTCGGCGGAGAGGCTGGTGCCGGTCAAACTGGGAGCGAGTCGCAGATGCTCACATATGGACACAAGTGCATCTGACGCGTGGAAGTAGTTTTACGCTCTCTTGTGAAGTTTGTAGGTTTATTATATCTCAAATGCACATAATTGGAAACACACAGGCACATTTCCTTATAATAATAAACTACTGTCCTACTGCTAAATACTGTTTTTACATAATTGCATTTATCTGATCGCTATAGTTTCTTTAAAAATTAAGATTTTAATACAATGCCCATACATGTTAATGCACTACGCCAAAGGAGGTCAGTTTAATCAACTGTCTCACACTTTAGCACCACTAATCTGGTGCACATATTTATGTATTTCTTCACTACTGCATGGCATCTGTCCTTCAGCAAAACCCCCAAAAAGGCAAATACAATCGTGTCGCTCGACGACAAGCAACGACGAAAAGCCACCAGAGTGATCAGGATGCATCCTCTGGGGGCTGCGAATGCGTGTAAATAATTTCATCCATCAGATAGTTGCTGACGCGGTGGTTGACTGACCAACTGACAGGCAAACACGGGCATCCACGGAGACGCTCCGCCAGGAGAAGACAATCAAGGAACAGTCAAAAATCTTTTGCTCGTACTTGAAAAACACCTGATTCTGCACTTCCAGAAATGCAAATCTCGTGTCTGACAAATGTCTTACCACAGGTGTAACGCAGGTTTTCAGTTCAGATTTACAGCCTCAACATCCAAACCGATATCAATCAGGTGGTGTCACTTGAACACATTTTTCAGACTTGACAAAAACCCTCCTGAGCCTCAGAACACATTCTAAAAGTGTTGATGAATGATGACTGATAGCATCCCTGTGACAGCAAAATTGCCGTTGACATGTCAAATCGGTGGAGCAAAGGATCCGAATACTTCCACCAGAGTCCGGACTCTTTACGAAACCCACACAGCGACGTATGCACGATCCAAAAAGCATCACGAGCTCCAAACTACAAAGAGTTTTCATTCAGTTTGTGCAAGAATAGCTTTTTTTAAAAATAGTTTGTCGTCCCACAAGGTCAACAAAAACTGAAGATCTCAGTCTTAGAAGTTGTGGCAGTTGTGCTGTAATGGACGCCACTGATCTGTACAACAAATACACTTATTTATATCACAACGTACCTCGAGTGAACCCAGCAGAGCCCTGATGAGCATTCTAAGATTCAACCTCGGCATTCTGAACTCGATTTCACTCCCAACTCGTCACATTTGGTCACGACCCCTTTTGGCGTCACTTTTAAACGCAACCCTTCAGCATCATTTAGCACCATTTTCCAACAAGCGCAGTGTTCTGGTAGATTTCTATGGAAGTCTCAAACCGACGCCATAAGACTGTCGCCACATGTTCTCTGCTGGCGTCGGCAGTGTTACTCATGTTCAGATAATAGATCACCACTGTGGTAACCAAGAAAAAGGTGGAGAAAGTTGACGCAAGACGGAGAAGTTTCTCTTCTAACACGTGGTTAATGTTGTGAAGGGTGTATTTTAGTCTAAACCTTTATCTTCTCCTGAGCCTAAAAAGTAATTTCGGTGCCTAAACTACACCAGAACAAATGAAGAATTCCACCTTTTTCTTATTTTTCTCTAAGTGCTGCTTTAAGCTTTCTCTACATGTGCTTTATGGAATTCAATGAAGAACATTAAGTGACTTAAAATCCAAAAATGAGGAGTAACATGTCTGCAGACGTGACAACTTCAGTCAAATGTTAAAGCCATGACCTTATGTTTTTAGTGAGAGCACTGAGAGGTCTGTTTTTTGTTGTTTTAAAATACTGCCGGAGACACTTTCTACCAAAGTAGTTTTGATGTTTTGATCATCAGAGACAGAAATCGAAAAAGAACATTGTTGGAACTAAAAGAATCAAACTGTCCGCTGAAAAAATTTGTTGTATTCTGAAGAACTTTCTCAGAACATTTTTGGAACAAAATAATTCTA